TCGCTGTGGGTGCTTTCCCTATTTGCAATATCTCTAGACACTTTCATGCACACGGCAACACAATTGCATTCCAATTGTCGTAATTGTCGACACAACATTATGGCTCCTGCATACAGGACGCGGTAATGCTTGCCGTGTGACAGAAGTTCGCGCGACAGCTAATTAATATGCTGCTTTTACTTAATAACCTTCTAGCTCTTACGGAACATATTGATTCACTGTCGCGCAGACTTCCGCCGCGCGGCAAGCATTACCGCGTCTTGTGTGCAGGAGCCATTACACATCCGCACTCATCTCGAGGGCTACTAGTCGGCTGTGTAAATTAATATTTTCTAGTGACAATTAAAGTTAATAAGAGTAGCGGCTTGAAAAGAGACTGGTATTTGCGACGTGAAATGGATAATATCTTTTTTATTATTATTTTTTATTATTTAGATTTTATTATTTATTATCAAAAAATATCAAAGTATAAGCATAGTTGAAAAATAATCCTACTCTATCTGACATACATATACATTAGTACACACTTTGTTCCAATTGAATCGTGCACAACGTTACACTTTGTGCATTTCTGTGTATATATGTGTCAAGATGTGTTAAACAATTGGAAAGCACCCAGTGTAATTTGACCTTTAAGGGCTTTTGCAAGAAAAACTTTAACCGTAACCGTAAGGTCGTAAGAAAACTGACCAATCAGAGTTGATTATTCTTCTTGCGTTCAAGGAATAATCGACTGTGATTGGTCAGTTTCTTACGATTTTACTTTCTTTAAAATTTTTTTACGTGCAAAGGCCTTAACTAAGGGTGCTTTCCAATTGCTTAACATATTTTGATACACATGTACACAAAACAAGTTTATTGGTCACATATTATCTAAAATATCTTAGATAGTATGCAACCAATAAACTAGTTTTGTGTAACACAGTGTATGCAACTGGAAAGCACCCTAAGATAGGATGATGTGTCGACTTATGTTATTAAATGGAAAACACCCAATAAGTACTGAGGAACAAAAAACAAACCTATAGATTTTCAGTACTAGCAGTGAATTTCGGAACGCAGCCTATATGACCTATTTCGTACGATATGGCGGGACTCCGGATATATAATCAATTCGTAATTAGCTGCGTTCAGAAAACATAGCTGATCAGTGAGCGGTCAGTGATTATTGGTCCTTACTGTTAGATCTCTAACTTTAGACCAATTATATTGACGAATTGCTCAACTGTTGTGCAACTGTTGAGTTCGCTGAACGCACCTATTGCTAGGTTCGTGATGGCTGAGAGGTAGTGACGCGCTTGTTGTGTAGCCTCAGTGTAATCTTGTTTTTCATATCATATTTTAAGTGCCACACATTAAATAACGCGGCGAGTACGGTAAGCGAGATTTCCACACAGTGACGAAGATCGTTCGTTAGCTATCAGCTGCCGTTGTTGCCAACCGTAATCATTGTCGTCGGTTTTTGCTGTGCTTGGCCGTTGACTGTCGCCAATCGCACTTTTATTGTGTTTTACTATGAATAAAGCGACTCGCGCAGCGTCCCGTCGTATCGGGAGTAACTTAGGGAATACAACTAAAGGTAATCGCGTACTTTACGCCGACACTTTCACTCAGCATTTTAAACCGGCCACGTCGAGGTTATGTTTTGAGTAGATCTCACTTCCTCTCTCGCTCCATTTTGAATGCTATCGCAGAGACGCTTTTCGATGCGCCTGTCTTCACCTAGTTTCGCAGCATAGTTGCTACGACGCGTCAATTTTGTAATTTGTCAAGCACGAGGCGAACGCAATCAGAAAATAATAGCTTTTGATTTTCGAATTATCACAACGATGACAAGCTACTGTTAATCCATGGCGATTTGTGATTCTCACGACTCTGGCTAGAACGCGATTAGACTTCGGACTAATACAGAACTAATATGGAGTGTGAGATAGTCGAGGCCGTCTGTCGTACGACAAAAACCACTATTATGTTACTTTTGATCGTGATTTTTGCACACTCCTAACGTTTCTCTCGAATTTTTGCCGTACTTATGTTATATAGCTTTACTGTATAAGATAAAAACTTATCGTCTGAGTTGTGTGAGTAACGCATATTCGCATTTTCCAAGTCAACTATTTCTTGACTTTCATATTTCTAATCTGTTTAAAATAATCAATTTTTTAAAGTGTTATGTACTGATTTTTTGTAGATCTAATTTAATCGTTTATCAATAATAATTTATAATACAATTATGTAATTTTTATACTAATTGTATTTTGTAATATCATTATTGTGGCCCTATTTTTTATATATATTATATCTAAAGATTATCTTATAATAATATTTTATAATGTATTTATAATATTAGTAAATTAAATATTAGTAATTGATATATATATATATATATATATAGTAAACCAGACATGTGGTGCGAGCAAAGATATAGCTTTACAAAGTAATCTCGCAGCGGTAAAGAATCAGAAGAAATTCGACTCTACTAAGAAATTAACCAACATATATTTTTCCAAAACACAATCTACATCAGAAACATGCAAATCTCTTACAGACAAAGCATATTCTTGTGGACAAGTAAGTATACATTATAAATTACTATTTATCTATATAGATTTGTTTATTATTGAGAAATTATTGCAACATTATGTTTATTTGGTACAGGATTCAAATGGGGACATTATGAAAGAGGAGAGTCCTTCACTTGTGCGTTACTTCTTTGAAAATGCAATAGTTCCAAAATATGTTTCGACAATCAATGAAATCATCTCTGATGTAGAACAATTCAAAACTGATGGTATTTATTGTAAACTTACATTTTAATCCAATACATTTGTTTCATTTAATTTAGTATAACCCCTTAAGTGAGATGCCTGGAGAAGTTTTGTAATAAAATATAAATTTGCTTTTGATTTATTTAAACAATTGTGTATATTTCTTTTTAACTTTAAGCAAATATAAATTAAATATATTTTGTATCCTATTTTGTATCCTATTTTTCAAAATTTTTTGAAAGAAATAGTAATAGAAAAAAGAAATCTAGATATGCTTATTAAAGAAAACCTACTTTAAGAGAAGTTGTGCAGTTATTTTAAATTACCACTGAAGAGATTAATTTCTTTTAATGCAATTCTTTTTACAACACAATGACTTGAATTTCAGAGACACCAGTGGCTGTTCCAGTCCATGGGCCATCTACGCCACATAGAATCAATATGCCATCATTAGAAGATGAAGCTACCATGACTAAGGAGAAACAACCGGTGATGGTAACGTTACGTAGCCCATTACAAATTATAAAAAAGCCTGCTTCACGTGGCCGTAAGAAGGGAGTCTCAAATCGGTTACTAAATCATTTATCGAAACCGGTAAACGCTACTAGTACAAATCGTTCGATTACTGAGTATTTTCCGGTACGTCGTAGTGTGAGAAAGTGCAAAAAGACTGTATTAGAAGAAAAACAGCGCGATATAGAAAATAAAGTGGTTTGCCAAGTGGAAGAGGGCTTGGAGGTAAGTAAAATGTCGGGTAAACTGATATTGTAGAAACGTTAGATTACGCGTCTATTTCGTAATTATTAAATTTTTTTTTATTAATAAATTATTATAATTTTTTCTTCTGTTACAGGTCAGACACTTCCCAGGCAAAGGCCGCGGTGTTATAACTACGCGTGAATTTGCTAAAGGTGAATATGTAGTGGAATATATCGGCGAGCTGATTAGTCAAGCAGAGGCAAAAATACGTGAAAATGAATATGCCCAAGATCAGAACACCGGATGTTACATGTATTATTTTCAACACCGTAATCAGCAGTATTGGTATGTAAATTCTAATGTTTTAACAATTACATTCTGAAGCTTCTAAAGCTTCCAGTTTCCAGCATTCATTTGTGTTTGTATCGTAAGCAAAATTTTTCCAGTATTGAGAAAGCTAAAAATTCTTTCTTAGTGCTGGAAGTATTATTGGCGATTAAGAAAATAATAAAGCAAAAAAAGTTAAGAATTTATTGAAGCTTGCACTACATATAAATTGAAATATTTTCAAAGTACTTATGTAATTAGGAAAAAATTGACTATTTAAGTATCATTTGAGAGACAAGTTACTTGAAACTAAAGTTGACACCTTTTATACATGTTCCTTAGGGGTTCTTATGTGCTATTTTTAATTTCTATTTTCAATTTTATGTAAACTAAAATTAGAGTAACTAACAGTAAGATTTGAAAAAGCACATAAAGAGTAAGCACGGATGTTTTAGTGCTATTAAATACTAATATTACTTTTTAATATTAATATGATTGTGGGAGGATAAAATTGTCCAGTATGTTAAGCGCGAAATTTTTCTTCGATTATCGTACACGGAGAATCAACCTTCCATACTTAGACCGATCCTTGAGTCCCAATTTTTATATATATATTTTTTTATTAAAATCCCAAAACCCCATTAAACCGATGACTCAAATAGATTCATTATATATGTTGCGAAAAAACTGCCTCCGCCAGGACTCGAACCTGGAACCTCCCCCCTTTTCGGGCGGGACGCTTTTCCATTCGGTTACCGAAGCTTCGACAATAATCTCGCAACATAATGTTTATAAATTCTCTAAGATGTAAGTTGAGAGAGAAAGAACGAAAGAACGAACGAAGATGTAAGTTGAGAGAGAAAGAACGAAAAAATATATATGTAAAAATTGGGACTCAAAGATCGGTCTAAGTATGGAAGGTTGATTCTCCGCGTACGATAATCGAAGAAAAATTTCGATACGTGCGTTTAACATACTGGACAATTTTATCCTCCCACAATCATATTAATATTAAAAAGTAATATTAGTATTTAATAGCACTAAGCATCCGTGCTTGGTCCTTATGTGCCTTTTCAAATCTTACTGTTAATTAATCTATTCGAGGAGCTTTCTATTATTTCGGTTTAAAATTAGAGTTTTAGTGGAAAACTATTATTATATTAAAAACTAATATATTGACATTGTACATAAATTTAAGAATTATTGTCCATTTTGCTTGAAAAATATAGCAGTAGAAAATTCATAATTTATAGTAATACACACACATAAGATATACATATATTTAAATACTTATATCTTTTTCTATTATTTGTCTATTATCTATCTATTTCTATTATATCAACTGACATAGAAATCCAGCATAGCAAATTGAAGTATTATAATAAAAAAAATGTTTTAAATAATATTTTTTGTATTTGTAGTATTTTGTGTATATGTATATTATCCATCTCAGCTTTGTCTCAAATTAACATTTATTACTTAAATAATGAAACTTAAATGTCTAAAAATGTAATTTTGTTCGATAGATAATAAGTTTATAAGCTATCCTTTAATGTGTCACTAAAAATAACGCTTACATCCTCTATAAAATCGATGTAAGGTAGAAAAATCTAAAGTATCAATGTTTTTTCAGCGTCGACGCGACAGCGGAGACGGACAAACTGGGCAGATTAGTTAATCACTCAAGAAACGGCAACTTAATCGCACGGATTATCGAAGTCAATTCTATACCGCATTTAGTGCTCACAGCAAAGGAGGACATACCGATTGGCGTCGAAGTTACGTACGATTACGGAGATCGAAGTCGCGAATCCATTCGTCATTATCCATGGCTGGCGTTATAGCACACTTCCAATTCACTATTTATATGGCATTGCACTGTACATAAAAAATTCACTTCCGTTTCTCCTATGAAGGAACGTAGCATGTTCGCTCTATTATATAGAAATTTATCTTCTAAATGAAGTTGCGGACAAGCGATTGCTCAAGCTTTTACACTAATGAATTCTAAATAATTTTTTATATTTCCGTAACAGAAGTAATCCTAACCACTTTGTTGAGAACTAATGGAATAATTAAGGTTAGTTCTGATGGAGTGATTGAAAACTAATTTATTTGATTAATTACAAATTTGTGTATATTGAATCATTTGCGCTTGTATTGTAAGCATAATTTTTCTATTAGAATCAAATTTTTTCGGTGTAGCATGATGTCACATTTTGAGTCATCTAGCGGAATTTAATGTATTTTTCTTGGCAATGGTTTTTATATTGTGCTCTTGTCGCGCTCTTAATGTAATACAGTATTACCGCTTGGTTTAGAACTCTTGTAACCGACATTTGGATTATATGATCGTAATATTCTTAACAAAATAACAATGGCATCATATAGTATTGGTTTTAACCTAGCACAGCGATCGAGCTTAAATTTTTACATGCTGAATCAAGAGTTCTTCATCAAAGCGTTTGTGATGCGCACGTAGCTACGAATATGATGTATATCCTTAAAAATGAGATAAATGTGTACGTATATACATATAACTATCGGATAAAGCGAATATTTTCCATGCAAGTATTTGCACGATGTACGTTAGCTTTGAATTTTCTGATTTCTCCACTGCCACGCGAATATCAATTGGATGCGAGAACGTATCTCGAGGAACAATTGTATAGTATATATATGTATATGTGTGAATGACATGTGCGAACGGTATTTCTCGATCGTTTATATTTATCTTCATAAAATGACTCCGCTAAGTTGCAATTAAATATCGTATCGTCTATATTCATATTCATATCATTTTTCTCATTGACTATTTATAGCATTAATACACATTAATTTTATTCAATATTAATCGATCCTTTTTTCTACACATTGCCATTAACTAACCTGCCACTCGTTATACCTACTTCTAAGAGTGTGTGATGAACTAAATATAACCGCGTTCTTCTCTATACCTTTTTTTAAATCTTTAAATCTTTAATTTAAATCTTTAATATGAAAAGATTTAATATACTGATAAAGAGAGAAAGTGAGAGTGTGCAGTAATATTTATGCTGTAGATATATAATTTGTTGATCATGTTTATTTTTACTGCACTTGAGAATTTTTGTCGTTCTACACGTTTATACGAAATATATATATTTAGTACTCTACTCTAGTTTTAATAGACTTACATTTGTTTTCTAAAGTTACTACTAGTAACTTTCAATATGTGTCAAGTTTCTTCTTGCGAATGATTGCATTGATGCAGTAATATCTCATTATCGCAATCAAAATCTGAGTTTTGTTCCATAAGAAATATATATACATATAGATAGTACAATTATAGACAATTCTGTTGTTGTATAAAAAAAATTATATAAAAAAGGCTTATTACATCAATAAAAAAATATTTACTACACTTTCTTTCCCGCAATTACAATTTTATTTTACAAAAACTATTATAAAATGCAAAGAGTAAATATTAAATATAATGTAAATCATAAGATATATAAGATGTGTGGGTAAATATGCAGTATAACGCTCCCACCTTGGATTTTTTACAAACTTTGCAAGTTTGTATATTTTACGCATAGAATTGATTTCTGAAAACGAAAATTGTCGCTCACTTCGTTTTTTTGTTTTTTTTTTTATGTTTTATGATGTCGGTAAGTAGGAGAGGCAGAGAATAGTTCATACATGCTTTTCTGCTTTAAGGCTCCTGGCCCCGGAGCCGAGAACTCCGAATCGATCGCAGAGCCATAGTTAGCTGTGGTGAGAATCACAACCTTATCCAGTGTAGCAACTACATGATAAATGCGATGAGGTTCTGTTTCATGCTACGACTGGTATGAGTTAAACAAAGACGGACAGCGAATATCTATCTGTCCTTGTCTGACTACTGGCGAGCTACAATTACGGCAGCAGACACGAGCCTGCAGCGATCTTCTCGCTTGCGCACACACATACACATATATATATACACATGATTCATTCTCTCACCCGTTCTTCTTTTCGCGCGATGCCTTACCTAGAAAGAAATATGTATGGAAACTTGGGATGACTCGTACCAATCCAAGTATCAGTGGGCACTTATAATAATTGTACTAATGTATTTCTGAACGTCATATATAATAAAAAATATAACAAAATTCTTAATATGATAAAATTTAATTAGGACAACGTATAGGTAACTAAGAAACTAAGAAACTTACAACTTTCCCAGATAGCACATGGAATTTAAAAAAAATTCAGTTATATGTTACGAATTCTCAATTGATTTTTAGGTGCAAAAAGAATTTTTTTCACTGACCTGTGAAGAATAAAATGTGAATATCTCACATGAGACAAGTTTTATGTTACAATTATGAATACATACTTTATAGACGAAGATTTGGTGAAAATTTATGGAATTAGAGCGATTAAA